ATTGTGTTTTTGTCTTGATAGGTGGCAGCACGTGGCCTTGACATCTCCAACGTGAAACACGTGATCAATTTTGATTTGCCCAGTGACATTGAGGAATACGTCCACCGCATCGGTCGTACAGGACGTGTAGGAAACCTTGGTGAGTTTTGCTGTTGTTTTCAGAAATATCTTGCATTTCTCATTTTTGCCAGGAACTCTGTTTGTGAGATTGATTTATTTTCAGGACTGGCCACATCCTTCTATAATGATAAGAACAGCAACATCACTAAAGATCTGCTGGACATCTTGGTGGAGGCCAAACAGGAGGTGCCTTCCTGGCTTGAGAACCTAGCCTATGAGCACCAGCACAAGAGCACCAACCGTGGACGCCCCAAGAGGTATGCAAACATACAAGCTCTCCAGTTCTCCCCAGTGGGTTTATGTATTTTCCAGGTTCATGACGTTACTCTTCTTCTGCAGATTCTCTGGTGGCTTTGGGGCCAGGGATTACCGCCAGATGGCTGGAGGCGGCAACGCTTTCGGCAACCGTGGTGCTCGCAACACTGGTGGCCATGGAGGGAACAGAGGTTTTGGAGGCAATAAGGGTTAGTTTAACTTGAAAACCCCATCTTATGATTTGCCACTTATAATAATGTTCAATTAGTTAACTTTAATTTAACATTTATCCTAAATGAATAAACTTACAATAAACAACATTTTTACAATATTCATTGGAGTTTAATGGAGTCATGAACTGCTAAATCAAAATTGCCATGATCTTTTGACATAAGAGGTCATTGTACTATAAAAATAATCTGAAAGCTTTGAGTTCTGAAACTTACTTGTTAGTCTAGCCCAGTGGTTCCCAATCCTGGTCCTGGAGAACCCCCAACACTGCACGTTTTTGGTGTCTCTCTTATCTGACACTCACATTTGAGGTCTTGGGAGTCTTCACTAATGAGCTGATGAGTTGAGGTGTGTTTGAATAGGGAGACATCTAAAATGTGCAGTGTTGGGGGTTCTCCAGGACCAGGATTGGGAACCACTGGTCTAGCCTATAAACATATATTAAAGCCAATCTGCCAAAACGACAGATTGTGGAATGCGCTACTTTTATTACGTCATTAGTGTGACTAAACACTGCCTCCACAGAAGATTATCAACACCTGCTTCTACATCGCTGCCTGTTTAGCCCCGCCCACCGATTCACACTTGTAGTAGGTGAATGACAAGAGTGGCAAATGCAGGTCTATGCAGAAACCAAACTATAAACTTTATTTGATGAACTTTTTTTTTTTTTTTTAGAAGTGCCAGACCTCGTCAGTAAGAACTTGGTCCTTTGTTCACTTCATTTTTACCACTGATTCATTTACAAACAAGGCACAATTCAACACAGGATTTTAAGAAAAATAGAAACTAAAAGACAATGCTGTGCCAACTATATTTGGATCTGACAGTAATGTTTTTATTATGTGGTCACTATTGCTTCGTCTGTTATCACAGATCGTTTGATATGTACTTATATTTATGTGTTTTTAACCTAA